AATACAGTCGTACAGAAATGACGCAAAAGCTGGCGACTATCATACGTCATCACAGAATATTGCCAAAAGAAATGACCTACTATACTCAGAGCTCGAAAATATTTCTAGTCACAAACCACAGAAGAGCATACCAAGCCATATGAAAGATTTTGTAATACTGTCTTCTCTTGGAAAGCAAGACACAGTTCAGCATTCGGCTGATTTGAAGACTCTAATATTGTTTCCAACAATTGGCAGGTTTCTAAGTGAACTTCAAAGGCGTTTCTACAGCCACAGTCTAGACATATTTCGTTCACTATCAGCGTTGGATTCACTGTCAAAGCATTTTCTTAATGAGTTACTTAAACCACTGGCAGAACATTATAAACTGAACTTGGAAGATTTGTTTATGGAGATGAAGCAAGCAAAGCGAATGAGAGAAAGGAATAATACAATATTTGACTCAATGATTGAATTTGCTGAATATTTGAAAACACTGTATATGTGGCCTGCAGATTGCCTTAACCCTTCCTGCGAGCACTGCTGGGTGTGAAAAGACCTTCAGCAAAGTGAAGCTTATAAAGAGCCTACTTTGCAAACAATGAAAGATTGCCATCGTAAAAGTCTTGCAATCTTGATTGTTCACAACCAGAGGGTATTAGACACCGATCTTAAAGACGTTGTGAATAGAATGGTGGCCAAATTTCCAAACATGTGCATTAAATTGGTTACTAATCCACCTTGATAAAACTTTTGAGACAAATAGTCCCTCCAAACACAAATAACATATGTCCCCACAGAAGGAGGCCTTGCCCCTCACTTGCCCCCACCCCAATTGAGAGATATCTGGTGCCGCTATTGGTGAAAATCATTTTCTATTCCTCAGGGAAACTTACAAGTATCTATTGACAACTCATTTTTAGGTCAAGTACCTACACATCTTGTTATAGGATGTGTTGGTAACGATGCATTTAACATATCTTGGAAGAAAACCCATAGAATTTCAAACGTTACAGTATCAATTTCGTGGCAATCAGTGTGGATGGAAAACAAGTTTTAGCATGACCATTACAACTCGATTTTGATGCCGATTTTTATGCTTGAAGCTACAAAACATTATTTAGTGGAACTGGAAAACAGTTTTAAGAACAAGAAATCGATATAGGACATGACGAATATTCGGGAGGATATATACTCTGTCTTTGATCTTACACCTGATTTATCTGCTGGTGATTCACACTTTAATTTAGTGAAACAGGGAAATGAACTTATAGAAATACTATTTGATAAACCATTACTCAATACTATAAACATTCTTACTTATGCAGAATTTCAGTCCATTTTAGAAATTGATCAGTCTAGAAACATCATCACTGATATCTAAGAAGTAATAAACACTGTAGAGATTTATTCGATATTCACACAATATAAGCTGGGAGGTGTGTTTGCCAGTGATAAACTACCTAATCATGCAGAAAAACATCTTATATCATAATAACATCATTTGTAGATGAAACAAAACAAATCTCATGAATATAATTTTTTATTCAGATTGTTTTAAATCGGTTCACATAATTTATACTACTCAGACTTTTTTAAAAACTATATTTGGGTCCCGCCTATAATTATCATAGTCACTTTCTTTAAGGTCAATGGGTACATACTATAGTTACTGTCGAAAGTAGGTTAACTTCTGCCTTCTAAGTGACGCCATCTATATAAATAAAATAAGAGTTTTGTCTGTACATTGCTTAGAATAGTGTACTTTTTGCCTATCTTCACGTTTCATTTACCAGAGAAG